CTGGTTACTTCCTTCAAAAGCTTCAATTTCATTCAATTTGCCTTTAGTCCAGATCAGGCATGCAACCATCCCAAGCTAGGGCTCGCTGATCGGCAGCGAACATGTTCGGTTGCGAACGGTTTGGTGAACGAACATGTTCGGTAACAAACCGTTTGGTGACCGAACATGTTCGGTTGCGAACCGTTCGGTCACCGAACTAACGGTTTGGTGCATGCCTAGAAAGGAATTCAACCAAAAATTTCTAACACATTTCATTGAAGCTTCCTTTCACCGCAACGATCACACTAACGCAGCGCAATATTGTGAAGAATATATGCTTTCTATATATGCTTCTTTCTGAATATATGCTTATTCAAATTAGTTTCGGCATACCGAAACTAATTTGAACCAGTTAGAAAGTTTAATTAATTAGAAATTTAATTTCCTAAAAATTATGTGAGAAAACGAGTTTCTACCACCTGATCTTCGATGTAGAAAGCGATTTTTTTGTGTTTTTCGATCTGAAGATCAAACTGTATGAAGTCAGGCTTATCAAATCAAAATTAGGAAATTAAATTAAACATCTTTTTGTCAGCTGAAATCCACTTTTTGGCCTACTTTTCGCTATTTCATTGCGAAGGAAGCGTTTTGCGAAGTTGAGTCTCTAGACAAAGAGATATTAAATTTAACTTCCTAATTTTGATCTGACAAGACTGACTTCAAATAATTTGATCTTCAGGGTGGAAAACACAAGAAACCGTTTTCTACCTTGAAGATCAGGCTCTAGAAACTGATTTTCGCACATAACTTTTCGGAAATTAAATTTACTGTTACCTGTTGCAGGCTTGAGTCTCAAAAATATTTTCTTCAATGTGAAAAACGCTAATTGAAACCGTTAAAAATAATTGTTTTCGACATCAGTATTTCAGTAAAATACTAATACTGATGCGTACCTGATGATTGTGTGATCTGTCTCTTTGAAGAGAGTTTTGATATAGTAAGATCAATGTGCGTACCCTCCCAAAAATTTATAGATCGATCGCTTTGAGAAAATGTATATGAAGTATTATAAAAGTTTAAGAGCAATAAGTCGAATAAACAGAAAGCTGAATGAACCATGCATTCAGCGCTGCAGATAAGCCATATAAATGCGACATCTTCTGCCTATATGCTGTAGATTGTACTTATATAGAGGTTACTCGTGGAGATGATAAACGGATCACACATTGATAGCAGAAGATAGTCTTTGTTTCAACTTTGGGCGCATTCCCTTTGGTGCTTCGATTACAGCGAATAATGGCGAAGACTCAATCTGCAAAATTAAAGATAAATATCAATACAACTATAATCAATGAGTGTCATCATTTTATGTTATATCGCTACTAGATGTTAGTGTCTTACAGTGCTAAACGAACAGACTTTCTATTTTTTGAACGTTTAACTTAGTTCTTTCGTAAAGTTCTCCTGTACTGTGCCATTTGATCGTTTAGATACCTTGTACTATCAGTATTTTAGATGGTAAATTGTCTTCTAAGCGGCCACAAGGGACCATTCTTGAATTTTTTGCCAAAAAAGCAAAAACTGAAATAGAAAAAAATACAACAACTGCAATCGATTTGAATAGCCTACCGTCACAATTTTATGGCAATGACAGTCAGTTTCATGTCAGTACTTCAAATCAAAATGATAATTCAACAAGCACAACAATTATAAAAGCTATAGAAAATTTGCCAGTTCTATCAGATCGTAAATATTTTTCGTTCGGTGGCATTCTATTCAGACAAGTAAGTGTTTCTCTTATTTTATGTTTTTAGAAATTAGTGCAGAACCATCATCTTCTGAAACTTTAAAAGAGGATTATTGTGTTAACACAATTGATGCTGATCTTCGTATTCTATCTTCATTTATTTCAAATTGTGAAAAACTAATTGCAGAGTCCACATCACCAGATCTTTGTAATGAACATTTTTTTATTAAAAACTCAACCATTATCTAAAGAAATTAAAGTGTTATCATCAGCTATTTATTATCTCTGTTCCTTGAAGTTGAATTTTATATCTACCAATCGTGGTGAAATAGATGATAAAAATGATGAAAATCTTATTTCGCGTGATCCACCAGATAACAAAAAATTCACTGATGATGAATCACGTTATTTAACAACTCAAGGACCTTTTCAGCCGAAAATGTCGGTTTATCCACAAAATTTGGAATTGAAAAATAAAAAACATCAATGTTCATTTGCTGCAGGATGGTACGGCCAATATAACTATTTGAAATATAGTAAGATAAAAGATGCAGCATTTTGTTTTTGCTGCCGCCTGTTTGGCCAAGATCCCGGAGATGCGAGAGAGGAAGAAACATGGACAACAAAGGGGATCGGTTCTTGGTCTAAGATGAAAGGTGAATTGTAGAGATTAACACTTTTGAGTACAGTCAAATTGTGATATTTTTTATATTGCGAGAAAGAGAATCTAAATGTTTCAGTCTCTGCACCGGAAGCAAACCAGTCTTAATCGTACCGGGAAAATGAATTTTGTGAAAGATGAGCCAATAAAAATCAAATTTATTTAAATCGAAACAGTTTACAAGAAAAAACAGGACTTAGCAGCACTAAATCTAGCGTATCCTATCTCTTAAACGTGTCTTTGTTTAGGACGTGGAATTCAGAGGACGGGGAAACTCGCGACACATTTCAAATCTGCAGCACATAAAGCTGCCGAAGAGAGATTACAAATTTTTAGTAACAAAAAATCAAATGTTGATTTAATGATAAATGCTGATCGATAAGATGCAGATCAAAAACGTGAACAATTATTGAAAATAAATGAAAAAATTATAATATCATTATTGGATGTAGCCAGATTTCTGGGAAGACAGTCGTTAGCTTTTCAAGGACAGGAACATGACGAAGGTAATAATTTGCCAAAGGAGGCTTATTCGTTTCTAGCTGTTTTATCTTGTTGTTGAAGGTAATTTTGTAGAAGCAGTAAGTTTGTTGCGTCGTCGCGATCCCGTGATGAATAAATGGTTTAATGATTCTAGTTTAAGACCTTATCACGTAAGTTATGAAAGTTTTTTATGTTTCTTATGCTGTGACTTTAAAAGACTTCTCTAGTATCGATAAAGCCATTTTTCGACTGGTCTCGCAACTGATAAAACAACATTCTATACAAGCAAGAAAATAGTAAATTACAGTGTTTGCAGAAATTCTGTGCTTTTTTTCTACAAACAACACAATCGTTTCTTTTGGAAAGATCGTTTCTAGCCAAAAGCCGACCGGTTGAGAGAACGTTTCCAGATCAGCAAAAAACGGCTAAACATCGACTGGTTTGAAAATTCAATCGGACCTGACCGGTAACTGACAGGTTGACCGTTTATGGTACCGGTTTCTTCAATTCTTTCAAAAGAAAGGAGAAAAAATTTCTAATGAAGTTTTATATTGAAAAAAAATCAGGGCACTGCATCATGAAATGTCATAAATTCCACTTTTTTCGATTATTCGTATGTCTCATCGACAAAATTTCATTTTAATAATAGTTTTGTAATATCTTATAGGAATCTTGCATACAAATGTAAAAGTGTAATAGTAAAACATGGAGACACCTACAGACAGCACACATACAATCACAGGCAATCACAGTCAGCTACACAGACATCCATGGATGTCTGTGTATGGGTGTCTGGGTCGGAATGTTCGTGTAGCTGTCTGCTGATGTCTGTATGCTGTCCGTGGGTGTCTGCGGGTGTCTTCATGTTTTACTATTACCCAAATGTAAAAACCTTCTAAGTTGCCAGAACACTACGATAAAACTTTTTAAAAAGATCTTGTGAAATTCTCATGTAATGTTCTTATAAAAGTCCTATAAGCTCTTATAGGATCCTTGTAAAATTTTTTAAGAGTTCGACTATAAAATTCCTATAGAAATCTAGGAAGAGATTAAAGAAATCTTATAAGACCTTACGATTTTGGTAAGACGTCATGTCTTTTGACGGTGTACTTTTTATATAAGATTTATACTTAGCTAAAATTGAATGAAAAAGAAATTTGCGGCTAAGATTGATTCCCTATGATGACAACAATAATGTCAATGTCTTTTGTAAAGTTGCGCCATCGCCGTTGGCTAATGGCATCATTGCTTTTGACAGGATGATAACATTGTCTGTCTCAGTACATATAACAGTATCGGATACGGTTGCTACTCATTTGCTACTCATTATAGGATAAAGAGTAACAGATTGAGTTGTCCAGTAACGATTTCGATTACCGCTGCTTAGTAATGATTGGTAAATGCACTTGTCGAACCGTGGATAAACAACAAATATTGTCGTGTAATGTAAAAAAATCGTAAATGAAGTGTGACTTCTCTTGGTTTTTTGATATACCGATATTTACGCGAATAACATTACAGCTTAACCACGTAACGCCGCACTTCGCGGATCAAGTTTTTTTCAAATGTTTTTCATCTGAAAATCGATAGGGGACATCACTAGACGCAACCTGGGACATCACGAATCTGGCTTTCTTTTTGAAGAAAAAATTCATTTTCAATATAAAAGTTTTAATTTAAAATTTTTAAAAACTTTAATTTCAATTTTCTGACCTAGACATTTTGTTCAAAGAATTATAGAAATATACCATTGGATAGAGAATTCAATTCTCTACAAAATGGCTCATTTGGTTTTGAGATCTATTTTTCTGTCGCGACACAGTGGCTGCTTGAACGTTTCAACTTCCGCCTTGGACTGAAAGCCTGAGAGAATTTTTGGAACTTTATTTTCAACTACAGTCGTTTCAGGAAACCTAGAACTAGTGAGCGACCAAACAATATTCAACAGAAATTACAAGAGTATGTTAATCGATGGAATATGCGTGCCAGGGCCCTGGATGCATAGGTCAAGAGCGAGAAAGAGAATCAGCCAGATGTGAAGAGCCGTTTAAATTGATTCTCTGTGGTCGAGTCAAAACTTAAGTTTTTACTCATAAAACACGTAACCTTTTTCGGACAAAACGGCCTTACTTCCAGTGAAACTGAAATATCTCAAAATTGAACTGTGTTTACAGCAGCACGTAAAAAAATTATTCTTCATTTTTTTAACGCCGTCTCGATAAATTTTTTCGCATTTCCAAGTAGGCATTACAATAAATTGTTCAAAATACAAGGATCCCAGCAACTACTTCAATTAAACTTTGTTTCATACAGTTATATATCTACGTTATAATCGCGTAGGAAAGACAGATAAGAGATGCTCAACGAAAAAAATATGCGAAGAGGTTGAACACATGATCCAAGCACAGCGCTTGGGGGTGCGGACGAACATATATCTGGAAATTGCAAACGACAGAGGGAGCAAGTATGAGATGTAGAGGGGGCATACACATCTAAAATGTAGAGACAGTGAGACTTAAGCTAGAGATACAGCCAGAGGGTAATTTCGCAGTTCGACAGCGTGTTTCGACACTGTTGAATTTCGAGCAAAAATCCGACAGTGTCGAAAGCTGTCTGTCGAAAAGTAGAACTGTGGAACGGCGACAAATTCCAGTCAGAGAGAGACATTAAGGTAAGAAGGAACAACGATGTTGTATATTTTTGCATGTATAGATAATCCGGAAGTTACTCTACTCTCTTGAAAATTATGCAAGTCCCGGCTCTCCAGCTATCGTCGTTCGGACAGGGGCTCGCTTTCCCTGAGCACGTGTCTGTCTGTGAGCCGACATCTCTGGGAATCTTCAGGAAACGCTCAGGACAGCTCATAAAGCATAATCGAAGACGAAAAAGGTGAATTTCAGCCGGGCATTGGTTTAAGGTTTTCCAGAAACGTTCTGAAAAGCCTCAGAGTATCAATGTTCTGCTGGACCACTTCAGCGTGATCAACAATATATAGCACCTTTTAAGTCTTTCCTAAAACAGCTAGTAACAGGCGAAAAAACGATTTTTCACAAAAATGCCTCTGGCGAAGTTATATTCATTTCTAGACAAAAACAAATGTTGCCACTATGCTCAGCGTAGTCTATTACCTATATTCCATGGCATTTCGAGATTCCCAGAGATGTCTGCTCGAAGATAAACACATGCTCGAGAATAGCGAGGCCTGTCCGAACGACGATAGCTGGAGAGCCGGGATTTGCATAATTTAATAGAGTAACGTCCGGACTATCTGTGCATGTAAAAAGATTATCAGCATTGTATGTTAGTTTTCTGAGAACGGAGCTGGTTTTCTAAAGATCCTCTGGAAACCCGATCTTTGAAATTTTTTCAAAAGTTGTTTTTGCTTGTGAGAAGTTTTGCTCAAGTCTTGGCTATCGAACAATGAAAACCGCAGGTCTCAATCTCATTTCTGTCAAAAGTTATTCAAAAAACACCCACGTGCCTTGACTTACCAAGCTCTTTTAAGCGTTTTTCTTCAGAAATTTGCTCAACTAGAATCAAAAGTATGTTATTACCGTGCTCATTTCTCATTTTGCCCTACAAGCAGAGACTACAAGTTTTATTCTCACATCACATCGCACAGGACACCTGTGCTGTTATTTTCTGTATTCTATTCTCTCCACTACCTTTTATTTCTAGTGCTATTATTCGATGATTAATCTTCTCCGTTTCTCTCTACCTTCTCCTATGCTTGATTGACCAAACGCAAAAGATTTGACATGTGCTGTTTTGAAATTTTTTAGTAGAAAAAACATGTCATTTTCCTTTTGGGTGTGTAGTATTGTATTATCAAAGAAAGAAAGAGAACAGATTCTACGTGCAGAAGTAAGATGTTGTCAAAAGCACGTTTTTTCTTGACATTTTGTTTTTTTCGATTTCTGAATTTAATGTGTAAATACGAAAATTCTTTTTACAGCAAATTATTGCATAGTTACCGGAAAGTAAAAGATAGTTGTCACGAATTGAAACTAAGCTTAGAAGGTAATGTGTCTCAACAGATGTCTTGTCCAATATGTTTATAGTATGTGATTGTACTACTCTAAAAAAAGTTTTGTTTGAAAAGCATTCTTCGTGGCAACTTTTTTCTAAGAAGATATCCTAAGAGCTTCTTTAGAGTTTTTTTTAAGAAGTCGGCTGTTCTAAATCGATCGAAGTGTCCAAGTAAAGAAGTGTCGGTGTCGCGAAAATGGACACCAAGCCGCCTATTTGTTTATGGCGTATACGAACATTATTTTTTAATTCATAAGGAAAAAAGCTAAGCTCAATATACAAAAGTTTATGTTATTTTCTGACAATAGGGAATGGTTTTTTTCCTGATCTTCCCTCAAAAAAAAGTCTCAAAGTTTAAACTTTGAAACATCAGAACTCTTTGTTTTCGAAATATGGTGCTTTTTAAGAAAATATATACAAATTTAATCCTGGCCGTGTTCTCGGTTCTGCGACACCAGAACTAAACGCTCACATCTCTGTGGCAGAGTGAATTTCTTCTTACCATGTCTTGTTTTTCTTCGCTGGACACTTTTTATTTTTTTTTCATTTTAGTCATGGTTCTCTTATCAGCAATCGCCTTATTTCCGTTTCTTATTGGCCTGGTTTTAGCTGCTGTATCAGCTCTGATCACTTTAGTACTATTCATATTATTATTAGTTTTATTTCTAATTTTATTACTATTAAAATTTATTGGTATCATTGTTTTACTTTTCTTATCACTCATAATTGGTGTACTACTCGGTCTAATTGGCCTACTTATTCTTTTACTCATACCATTATGTCTGTTAACATGGCCGTTGATTTTAGTCTTAGTTGGAATTAGTTTTATATTGGGTACAGTTTTAGTAACAATTATTGGTTTTATAGTAATTGTAACAGTTTTCTTTTTTATTGTACTAACATTTAGTGGAATAACAGTGGCAGCTATTGGCGGAATAGTAGTACTGTTAGTCACGTTGTTAAGTATTGTGCTTGTTTCACTACTATTTGGAATACTTGTTTAGGTTTAGGAAGATGTGCTTGTTTTTATAACCGCTTTTGTTTTTCTTTCCTGTTGGGAATAAAAGTTTTACTTTTTCTCCAAGAAAATCTGTAAGCGATCGTTTTCATCGGACACAATCTGATGCAACTATCTGTGCTAAATTCACAAGACGATGCATCTAGTTGCAACTGGTTGCAAATTGTTCTATTGCATGGTAGAAAATCGGGAAAACCAGTTTTTTTTCATGGCGGTTCTGTTAGCGGCACGTGTCGCAAACGCGAGACGTCACGTTATTCTGTTCTTTCCTCCAGGCAGATTATGCAATGTGGGTTTTGAGGCGGTTTTAGCCGATGATTACGATTACAAGCTCGTATGCTAGTGCCAACAGATAAAATTTACGAAATTGAATTTCGGGGATATTTTTGACTTCCTACAAAACTCTAAGAAATTCTTCTCTCAGGGTGAAAAAGAGTCTTTTTGACTTATTTCGTCTTTTCATCTGCACAAGAGAACTGATTAAAAAAATAAGTATAATCACTGTAGTGGTTCTCATTCGTATTTAAAAAGAGATGTTAAACATAACCAATACTACAAGTGGATTGATATCGATCGGTATAAATATAGTTTCGGATTTATTCGTTATCCCTAGGGAAAACCTTTGATGTTTCAGCACCAGATCCTTGACAGATGTGATAAGGATCCTGCAAGGATTCGCTCTTTTTTCCTAAGGAAACGACCAAATCCTTAAAGAAATGTGTAGCCACGGAATTTCAGGATCCTGACAAGATTCAAAATAAGATTTTCAAGGATTCTAAAAGATTTACCATTGATTTTCATCTAGGATTTAGCCAGGAAACCCTCAAATCCTGGAGGAAGCCTGTAGCCACAGAATTTCAAGATCATAACAGGATTGACAACAAGATTTTCAAGGATCCTAACAGGTTTATCATTGTTTTTGAACCAGGATTCAGTCAGAAAACGACTAAGTCCTGGAAGAAGCGTGTAACCACGAAATTTCGACATCCTGAGGGGATTCAAAACGTTTAAACGCGTTTAAATGCGATTTCTCAACGCATCTGAGACATTCTTATTTTCCAAATCGCATCAAACGCGTTTCTGCAGACGACGCACACAGACGCGACTTTAAAATTTGTCGCGGTACAGCGCCTTTTCTTTACCGTCAGACGCGTCTTTTTTAATAAGAAATTTCAGATGCCCCCAAGCGCGTTATGGTACGACGCATTCAGACGCGTCTTGCAAACTTCTCTCGGCAAAGCGCGTTTGGACGCGTTTTTATAATAAAAAGTGCTAGACGCGTCGGAGACTTTTTTTCTGAAGAAAACGAATTTAGACGCGTCTTTTCAGACGCAATGAATTTACATGGGTTCTTTTATTCTGTAGCGCAAAATGCAAAGGACTAGAACTGACAAACCGTTTTTCGGATTTGCGAGTAGTGGAAATCGAAGTTTCACA